TGTCATAGTGTTCCCGTTGAGCCTGGGGCGCTGAATCGCACCTTACCGGGACGCCACCCCACTAACATTAATTTTTTGTGAAACTTTCCCATTAGTTAGAGAGAGAGAGAGAGAGAGAGAGAGCGAGAGAGAGAAAGAGAGAATTACTAAATATCTACTACATATATATATTTATTATACCATTTGTATTGATGCCATTTATGAAGATACTAGTCGTCCATGCTAGGCCCTGCACTGGACTCGGTGAAAAAACTGTAAAAGACCATGACTTGTGTGTTTATTAAGCAGCATATTCCCTGTTTTGCCCGGGTTTAGGAAATATATTACTTTTCGAATTAACCCTATCCACAACCAAACAAAACCAAAACACACAAAAACCGAAAACATAACGCAAACACAAACACAAAGAAAACACAAATAAAAGATAGCAAACACAAACACAAGACCAAACACAAACAAAAAAGAAAAGGCAATCACAAACGAAAACATATAAACCCAACCAAAAACACAAAGAAATCACAAAAAAGCCAATGCAAACGCAAACACAAAGGCAAACACATACACTAACATAAACACAAATAGAATTAGTATACAAACTCAAACCTAAACGCAAACAATAATAGTGCTCTGAGTCTAGCCCGGGACGCCAAATGGCTAATTCAACTTAGTAAACGACTATAATCCTCCAATTTATCCATAGTATTTTGCACTCACTTAAACGAACGTAGGCGCCATAGCCCGGGGTGCCAAATAGCACTCTGTATGGGCGCCAGAGGACGCCCTGATTCGATTTAGTGAAGGACTTTTGTAAGCTTTCTCATCTTTAGTCTATCCAGTCTATCGCACTGTTTAAAAAGAACGTAAGCGCCCAAACGCTCACGAGAAGGCTCGGGGCCCAATATGGCACCCTGTCGGGGCGCCAGAGGACGCCCGGATTCAATTATATTACTATAGTAATATTTCTTATCCATAGTCTATCGCTCTGTTAAAAACGGACGTATGCACCATAGGGCTTACAGGATAGGCCGGGGCGCTGGCAGACGTGCCTGATTCAATTTAGTGAACGACTATGATACCCCAGCTTTTACGCAAACCGAAAGATAGAAATAAACATAGATGTCATTTAGTAGCGGATTCTAAACTGTTATTGATTAAAAATAATAATTAGTAAACAGTGTGTTCAGTGTATAAAATAAATAAAAGGCAGTAGTTAAAATATCCGTGTTTTACTTACCATATTGCAATCTATCAATCCACGCTAATTCTATAATTTTTTTCTAACACCAAAACAAAGTAATAAAAAGTATTTATTTCCCCGCCATTAAATGGAATTAATATTCGTTTTGTGATCTATCAAGGGAAGTAATTGGCAATAAAGGATCAAAGTGAAGTAATTTGTACACTTTTAAAACTTTTGTGAAGGATGATACTGATACATATTCGTTGACTTTGTTTATTCCACATGACTTTAATTAAAATTATACGTTTGGGAAATGAAATTTATTTTACATACCCTTATATAATATTTTTTTAAAATTATTACTTTTAGATAATAAACACTTAGGTATGTTACTACTATATGCTTCTATTGTCAAAATGTCCGTCCTCGGTTCATTGTCATATAAATACATACAGAGCCACAGAATCCGTTTGAGCTTATCACATATATTGTCTCTGGTTTGCACACTATAAGATTCTGCATGTTAATATAAGGACCCTCTCTAAGGAACTAAGATTCGCATAATCACCTCAACATAGTTCATATAGGGCGATCTGCATTGAAAGCCTACATTGCAGCTCAACGCATTTTCTTTAAATATACACCCTAGTGCACCATAGAGCGCCACATTTGAACGCGACATTTGCTTACACAACGTCCCGGCTATGTTGACATTTGGAGGCTGCGTTTTGAGTTTGGTAAGCTGATCCAGCTCAGTCTATGTATGGGGGATAACCTAGCTTTAGATACCATATGGGAAATACCATTAGTCACCGTAAGCCAATGGTGATACCATTAGTCACCATAAACCAATGGTGATACCATTTGTCACTATAAACCAATGGTGATGCCATTTGTCACTATAAACCAATGGTAATACCATTAGTCACTATATACCAATGGTGATACCATTAGTCACTATAAACCAATGGTAATACCATTAGTCACTATATACCAATGGTGATACCATTAGTCACTATAAACCAATGGTGATGCCATTAACAAACGGGTTATACCCAGGGCTGTAGGAGTGGGGTGGGGGCGAGGGGTGGGGGCGATGGGTGGGGGCGAGGGGTAGGGCCGAGGGGTGGGGGCGAGGGGTAGGGGGCTGCGCCATGCTGACGGTGGCTACTGCACGTGCCGATCTTTCAGAACTTCTGTTGTTATGTAGGGGATAGATCACGTCATGCTTCATGTAGGGGATAGACCACGTCATGCTTCATGTAGGGGATAGATCACGTCATGCTTCATGTAGGGGATAGATCACGTCATGCTTCATGTAGGGGATAGATCACGTCATGCTTCATGTAGGGGATAGATCACGTCATGCTTCATGTAGGGGATAGATCACGTCATGCTTCATGTAGGGGATAGATCACGTCATGCTTCATGTAGGGGATAGATCACGTCATGCTTCATGTAGGGGATAGATCACGTCATGCTTCATGTAGGGGATAGATCACGTCATGCTTCATGTAGGGGATAGATCACGTCATGCTTCATGTAGGGGATAGATCACGTCATGCTTCATGTAGGGGATAGATCACGTCATGCTTCATGTAGGGGATAGATCACGTCATGCTTCATGTAGGGGATAGATCACGTCATGCTTCATGTAGGGGATAGATCACGTCATGCTTCATGTAGGGGATAGATCACGTCATGCTTCATGCATCTCAATCATTTCAAAATCTATTTCCAGAGAGGTACAATACAATTGTTTATAGGGCTGTAGTTTCTGATGACAAAGAAACGAAAAGCGAGTTCTTCTCTGAGTTTCTCCTGCTCTAAAAGAAGTTTTCCCTTCCAGTGTTTCTATTCATTTTAATTCTATCTAGATCAGTAGATCTGCTATTATTTAACCAATGGATTGAAATCTGTTTTCCCCACGAAAAACATGTACTTAAATGGGGGGTGACCGGAGGCTATTCCACGCCCTACTTTTTTTTTAAATAGTTAAAAATCTTTGAGTTCTATGTATGTTGATCAATTTATGATAAGGATGTACAGAATAAGGTTTACCTAGCTATGTTGATCAAGTTATGATAAGGATGTACAGAATAAGGTTTACCTAGCTATGTTGATCAAGTTATGATAAGGATGTACAGAATAAGGTTTACCTAGCTATGTTGATCAATTTATGATAAGGATGTACAGAATAAGGTTTATAGTGACATGATCACGTGATCATGTAAAATGTAACAGTAAAAGTTCCCTGACGGTCTATGGGGCAAGTGAAGTAGAGCTCGCCTGTTTCTGTGACCTCGGCATATGAAGGGATAGTGTGGTCAGCAATATGCACAGTCGCCTTTACTTTCTCTAACGTGAGTTAGGCACCCATCAGAGCTGGGTGAACTCAGGGACTCGAGCACGAGACATTCGGGTTAGCAGTCTAGCTCTCTACCGCTAAGCCACTCCGTCCTATTGGGCTATTGTCCATTCGTTTAGATGGGCATTGTCTATGGACATTTGTGCAAATATCTTTTGCGACAGTAACTGGACCTAATTGATGTTCGTCAGTTCACAAGGTCAATTGATTCTATTTGGTTCTACACAGCCGACGTAATTCTGCCCAGCGTTCAGCGCTGCCATTGAACGAACTGTGACGACTTACTGGAGGCAACACGATGTAGCGAGGGCGACCCATGAAACTAACTGCCGCACGACCTCTCAAACTCACCATTAACAACCGTCTCCGTAGGATAAGTGACATTGACCCCAACTACTATAGCAGGCTTGATACAGGTACAGCAGACAAAACGCGGGTCAAGGCTTGCCGGCCGTCAAACCACTGCCCTCCCCCAGGGGTCGCTGATAAGACGCCATATTGGTTAGGTCTAGCCGGGCTTTTCTCCGCTGCGGCCCTTCTCGCTCTCAGGGAACTTGCTGGTTCCAAGAGTGTCCAGGTATCGGCTGACACCTGGCAACAGATCTACGATCGTCTGCTGGCCGCCTGTTCTCAACTTGTCAGTGGCCGCAGACAAGCAGAAAAACAAACGTCTGAAGCAGACGTTGGGTCCATGCCCAGACAAAGTCTGGCTTGGTCGGGGCTCATCAGCGGGCAGCGCGCCAAGATTGGCTCCAGCCTCGAGCAGAATGACGCGAGTCCATTCATTGGTACCAGGCCGCCCACTCCCCTCCACTCTTTGTTGATTTCGGCCGAGCTGTGCTCGTGCTAGAGGCCACCGAAGTCCAGGCGAGCTGGCCAAACACTGTGTGGATGTGAATCGCTTGATGTGAGATTGATGTGAATCTGGTTTGTATCGTCCTGTTCAAACATTTGATTGCAATATTTCCAACACCAGTATGTCTAAGGTAGAAATCTCTCGAGTCTTGTATTGCAGTGAGGGGGCGGGATTAAGTGTTGTCTCCTGCCCTTTGATACGCCGCTCTAGGCAGGACAAAAATAGCTTGAGGTCGTCCTTGACTCTGGATGACATCAGTTTCTGGCCCCTTGCCCGGGCGCCGTGTGTGTCGAGAGACAATACGAGTCTGCCCTACCTGTGCCCCGCCCTCTCGCTGCCCCAGCAAAACGTCAACAACGGTGCCCTCCAATCCCGGGGGAGCAGACATGGGTGCCCCAGACCCCATCGACATGCGGGCAACAAGGGCACAGCCCTCCCGCCGGCGAGGCCCCCCGGTTCAATGCTACACTTGACAAGCCCAACACTACAAGTGCAGTCGGTAAAAAGCCCATTAAAAGCAGTACTACAAGTGTCAAGTTCAGCTAAATCAGTACTACCAGTAGCAAGTTCAGCTAAATCAGTACTACCCGTAGCAAGTTCAGCTAAATCAGTACCACCCGTAGCAAGTTCAGCTAAATCAGTACCACCCGTAGCAAGTTCAGCTAAATCAGTACTACCAGTAGCAAGTTCAGCTAAATCAGTACTACCAGTAGCAAGTTCAGCTAAATCAGTACTACCCGTAGCAAGTTCAGCTAAATCAGTACTACCAGTAGCAAGTTCAGCTAAATCAGTACTACCAGTAGCAAGTTCAGCTAAATCAGTGCTAACACTGGCAAGTTCAGCTAAATCAGAACTACCAGTGTCAAGCTCTACCAAATCGGTACTAACACTGGCAAGTTGTACTAAATCAGTGCTACAAGAACCAGACCACTCATGGCCAATGCTTCCATTAGCGGGTACTTCAGGGCTGAAGCCATTAGCCTCAAAGGCAACAAGAGCTAAGGCGACGCGAGCTCTGGCTAGACCCAACATCACGGGAAAAACTGCAGCGACAGGTACTGCAGGGCTGCCTGTGGCAGGTACTGCAGGGCTCCCTGTGACGCGTACTACATGGCTGACGGTGACAGGTACTACAGGGCTCCCTGTGGCAGGTACCGCAGTGCTCCCTGTGACAGGTACTACAGGGCTGCCTGTGACAGGTACTACAGGGCTGCCTGTGGCAGGTACTACAGGGCTGCCTGTGACAGGTACTTCAGGGCTGCCTGTGACAGGTACTACAGGGCTGCCTGTGGCAGGTACTACAGGGCTGCCCGTGGCAGGTACTGCAGGGCTTGAACTAGATACAGGACAGACGCCGATGTTGGCCAGACACCCGAGGAAGCAACACAAAAGTTCGGCGTCCAAGCGAAGACATTCAGAATCTCTCAGCGGTCAGGCCTTTAGTGGTCAGGTCAAAAAATGGCCAACGTTAGCTGGAAATAGATCCAATTGTTCTAGAAACTCGGCTAATAAACGTAAGATAAAGAAGAAATTGACGTCATCATACCATAGAATTGGCTCCAGGTTCAAACAATCACGCAAGGTCAACAGGAAGACAAAAGGAAATCACTCCGCGCCAAACCTTCAGAACGAGGCGTCCAAGATGGCGCCATTGAAGGTCACCCAGCGCTACACATTTCCAATCAGTTTCACCAAACGTGTTATGCCATTCAAGTTCTGTCAAGATCTGGCTCGCAGGTGCAAAAACCGTTTGAAAACAATGATGACATATAGCTCCGCCCACAGTGGTGCTCTGGTGGACGACGAGATGTCCGACCCCCCGGGCGAGGACTGGGGCGACTCGCTCAGTCAGGACACGGCATCCACCGAGGAGGTCAGCGATGAGGAGAGTTATTTGTACGCCAAATGGGCGGAGCTAAAAACTCTGAAACCTGATCATCTGAAGCAAAAGGTGAGTAGGTGGGTGGGTCCAGGACATGAATGTAGGCGGCAAGAAAGTGTAAATATATTTATATATTGATATATATTGATATATTGATATATATTGATATATATTTATATATTGATATATATTTATATTTTGAAGTATACTTATATTAAGTTATATATTGAAATATATTTATATATTGAAGTATACTTATATTAAGTTATATATTGAAATATATTTATATATTTAAATATATTTATATATTGAAATATATTTATACGAGCCGACCTGCTGCGTATCATACGCCGCTATTTAGTTGTTTTTTTTTCTACTTTTCAGTAATTTATAATTTGTGAATTCGACAGTAGCAATGCTGCCACTGAAAATATTTGCTTTAAAACACTAACCCCCCCCCCCTCCCCACGTGAAAGCAGCCTCCTCTTAGTTACCTCCTCTAAGTTTAAAATCGTTTCAAACTAAATTATCTGCCCCTAATAGCCGTCACCAAACCCGTCTCTATGATTGTAAAATGTAAACAGCGTGACCACAGCTCACCAGACAATGTGGGGGTGGGGTGGTAGTGATAGTGATAGATATAAAGAGAGGGGACTGCAAGGAGGCGCTTGCAGCTTGTTTTCTAACGGCTCCCAGAAGAGAATTATATATATAGATAGATAGATATAGAAATATATTTATATTGAAATATATTTATATATTGAAATATATATATTGAAATATATTTATACATTGAAATATATTTATACATTGAAATAAATTTATAGATTGAAATATATTTATATATTGAAATATATTTATACATTGATGTGTATTTATATATTGATGTGTATTTATATATTGATGTGTATTTACATATTGATGTGTATTTATATATATTTATATATTGATATATATTGATTTCTATTTATACATTGATTTCTATTTATATATTGATTTATAATTATACATTGATTTATATTTATACATTGGTTTATATTTATACATTGGTTTATATTTATACATTGGTTTATATTTATACATTGGTTTATATTTATACATTGGTTTATATTTATACATTGGTTTATATTTATACATTGGTTTATATTTATACATTGATTTATATTTATACATTGGTTTATATTTATACATTGGTTTATATTTATACATTGGTTTATATTTATACATTGTTTTATATTTATACATTGGTTTATATTTATACATTGGTTTATTTTTATACATTGGTTTATATTTATACATTGGTTTATATTTATACATTGGTTTATATTTATACATTGGTTTATATTTATACATTGATTTATATTTATACATTGATTTATATTTATACATTGATTTATATTGATATATATTTATATATTGATATATATTTATATATTGATATATATTTATATATTGATATATATTTATATATTGATATATATTTATATATTGATATATATTTATATGTTGATATATATATATATTGATAAATATTTTTTTATTGATATATATTTATATACTGATTTATATGTTGATTTATATATTGATTTATGTATATATATATAATGATCAGTGTTTGCAGTCACCTTGAAAATAAACCCATATTTGAGCCTTTTAAAAAGAATATAGTCTAGGAAAAAAATGTTGGATAGCATGTAAATTATAAATAAGTTACAGAGGCATTGTTCCCCTACATTTTGATCAAGTATGCTTTTTCATCAGAAAATTTTGGAGATTTTTTTAAAAATATACACAATTGTTTTTACTTCCCTTCTTAATTTTATCAAAAAGTGAGAACAATTTCAATGCAATTAATTAAAATGATGTACTTATTTTTTAGGTTTAAAAAAATTGGGTCTGTTTTCTGTGTGTCTTTATGTTTTCAAAAGATTGAGTTTGTGTCATCTACTTATACAGATTTTGCCCTCCAAACATGGTAGTTTTGAGAATGTCAAAAAAAATATTTAAATAACTTTTACTTTTTAAGATATATGAACAACTTTAGTATCCACTATCTTAGAATATTCTTCTGGTTAGGATAAAAATGGTGTCACAAGATTCTAACCTGTCTGATGAATGTCTGCAGATGAAGATCATGCAACCCTCACTTGCAGGAACAGCCAGGGGAGGAAAGTCTAACACAAGGGACAAGAAAAGAAGAGCGCGCAAATGAAAGTGGCCAGGTTTATTTACATCAGACATGTTTTCCAGTGTCAAGTTAGACTAGTCCAGTGGCAAGTTAGACTAGTCCAGTGGCAAGTTAGACTAGTCCAGTGGCAAGTTAGACTAGTCCAGTGTCAAGTTACACTAGTCCAGTGTCAAGTTAGACTAGTCCAGTGTCAAGTTAGACTAGTCCAGTGTCAAGTTAGACTAGTCCCGTGTAGCGATGATATTTCTCATAGTCTTGGTGCAGGACTTTAAAAGTGTCTTTGACCCCAGGGGGCAGGGCGGAGTTGAGGGCAGTCAAGCGGAACTTATCACATATGCTCATGAGTTTGTAGATGCCTGGAACAAGTGCTCTCTGAAAGAACACAAAGTCAAGTAGATTGTCTACAAATGTCTAAATGTCATGTTTTAGAGGTATGTCAACATGTGCTACAAATGTCTAAATGTCATGTTTTAGAGGCAAGTCAACATGTGCTACAAATGTCAAAATGTCATGTTTTAAACAATAAAAAACTGAAGCCATAAACATCTGTGTCAGCCTAATGAGCCAGACCTTGATGTGGGTGTGCAGGGGCTGTTGCTGTAGTTCCAAGATGTAGGTGCCAATGATGGTGTGAGCAACTTTACTCAGCTCATTTCTAAATGTGCTCGTGGAAAACAAAGTCAACAGTCTGGGGAAATCAAATTTTGGAATATTTCATTGGGGGGATTCAAATTTTGGAATATTTCATTGGGGGGATTCAAATTTTGGAATATTTCATTGGGGGGGAGGGGGGGATTCAAATTTTGGAATATTTCATTGGGGGGAGGGGGGGATTCAAATTTTGGAATATTTCATTGGGGGATTCAAATTTTGGAATATTTCATTGGGGGGATTCAAATTTTGGAATATTTCATTGAGGGAAATCAAATAGGGTTGATGGAAATTAAACAGTTCGGGGAATTATGTTAAGTTGGGGGAAATAGAATTTTGTTGCAAGTTAATTAAGTTTTGTGGGGAAGATGGGATATAAAATTTGGTTAAGAAATTAGACAAGGAGTTTGATTGTGTGATGAATGTATCACAAGGTGTTTGGTTGAGTGATGTATGTGTGTGTCACAAGGTGTTTGGTTGAGTGATGTGTGTGTGTGTGATGTATGTGTGTGTCACAAGGTGTTTGGTTGAGTGATGTATGTGTGTGTCACAAGGTGTTTGGTTGAGTGATGTATGTGTGTGTCACAAGGTGTTTGGTTGAGTGATGTATGTGTGTGTGATGTATGCGTGTGTCACAAGGTGTTTGGTTGAGTGATGTATGTGTGTGTCACAAGGTGTTTGGTTGAGTGATGTATGTGTGTGTCACAAGGTGTTTGGTTGAGTGATGTATGTGTGTGTGTGTGATGTATGCGTGTGTCACAAGGTGTTTGGTTGAGTGATGTATGGTGTGTGATGTATGCATGTGTCACAAGGTGTTTGGTTGAGTGATGTATGTGTGTGTCACAAGGTGTTTGGTTGAGTGATGTATGCATGTGTCACAAGGTGTTTGGTTGAGTGATGTATGTGTGTGTCACAAGGTGTTTGGTTGAGTGATGTATGTGTGTGTGATGTATGCATGTGTCACAAGGTGTTTGGTTGAGTGATGTATGGTGTGTGATGTATGTGTGTGTCACGAGGTGTTTGGTTGTGTGATGTATGTGTGTGTCACAAGGTGTTTGGTTGTGTGATGTATGGTGTGTGATGTATGTGTGCGTGTGTGATGTATGTGTGTGTCACAAGGTGTTTGGTTGAGTGATGTATGGTGTGTGATGTATGCGTGTGTCACAAGGTGTTTGGTTGTGTGATGTATGGTGTGTGATGTATGTGTGCGTGTGTGATGTATGTGTGTGTCACAAGGTGTTTGGTTGAGTGATGTATGGTGTGTGATGTATGCGTGTGTCACAAGTTGTTTGGTTGAGTGATGTATGTGTGTGTCACAAGGTGTTTGGTTGAGTGATGTATGGTGTGTGATGTATGCGTGTGTCACAAGTTGTTTGGTTGAGTGATGTATGTGTGTGTCACAAGGTGTTTGGTTGAGTGATGTATGGTGTGTGATGTATGCGTGTGTCACAAGGTGTTTGGTTGAGTGATGTATGGTGTGTGATGTATGTGTGTGTCACAAGGTGTTTGGTTGAGTGATGTATGCGTGTGTCACAAGGTGTTTGGTTGAGTGATGTATGGCAGGTGATCAGACATGGAACTGACCTGGCAACAAGATTAGAGCACTCTGTCAAATGTGCTAATTCTTGAGAATCATCTCCCAGTTTGGTTTCTCCACCAAACTGCATGCAGGTCTTGAGTAGCTGTTTGTATCTTAAGGAAAAATGTCATGGCACAATATTCTGGCTGATTATAAAGCGCAAACATTTAATGGGCACAATATTCTGGCTGATTATACAGCGCAAACATTTCATGGGCACAATATTCTGGCTGATTTATGGGTAACGGGTTAGAGAATTTTAATGCTGACAGCTTTGATTTTTTTTTAACTGAAATTAAAGAGACTGAGCGGATAAGGGTTAGCCTAAAGGATATTGTTTGCAAGGGCCACAAGTCAAGGGTTAGGGTTAGCTCAAAGGATATTGTTTGCAAGGGCCATAAGTCAAGGGTTAGCTCAAAGGATATTGTTTGCAAGGGCCACAAGTCAAGGGTTAGCTCAAAGGATATTGTTTGCAAGGGCCATAAGTCAAGGGTTAGGGTTAGCTCAAAGGATATTGTTTGCAAGGGCCACAAGTCAAGGGTTAGCTCAAAGGATATTGTTTGCAAGGGCCATAAGTCAAGGGTTAGCTCAAAGGATATTGTTTGCAAGGGCCATAAGTCAAGGGTTAGCTCAAAGGATATTGTTTGCAAGGGCCACAAGTCCAGGTATGAGAGTGAGTGCTGTCACAGTGTGGTAGACCAAGAGTGAGTTACTCAGTCTGTACACTGACTTAAGGTCATCTGGTGATCTCATTGTCAAGGTCAAGGCTGCGTGCAGGCACAGGGTGATCATTTGAGGCGTTACCTGTGTCTGATACAAATCAAGCAATTTAAAAACTGCCATGGCACTGATTGTTTTACTTTAAGACCAAGTTAGAACCTTACTTGAGACAGTTCCAGTAGATCTGCTAAACTCTCAACAATGAACTGTGATAACAGCCGCCTCCTGGAGGTCAATGGCTGGCCCACACCCTCAGGCTGGTCCAACAGAGAGAGTAAGGCACACATCAGCTGAGGAATCATGAACACATCTCTCATATTTTAGACCACCTTTGGCTTTTTTGTTAGTAGACCATTAGACAAAATGAGTAATAACACAAATTTTATCCTAAGATATAAAAGCCCATGTGCACACTTCACTCTCTATTTCCACAAGTTTTTTTAGGCGATGTGATCAGTTTGTTCAGCGATATAAGGAGAACTTAAAGGTACAGACTTTTGTTAAAAATAATATGGTGGATGTTATAAATGTATAAACTAAATTTTTTTTAAGAAAGAAAATAAAAATAAAGGCATATTCGAATGTAGAAACACAATTTTAATTATGCTACCAGAAAAGCGTTTATTGTTGTGAAAAGAACACAATAAATAATGACACATGTTTTAACAACAGAAAGAACACAAAACTAATGGCGTCATCTTCCAATTTTAAAATATGAAGAAAGGAACTATAGATCTACTTATCAAGACTTACGCTATGAAATGTATACAATTTTCTAGGCCAAAACTAATACAAATTACTTTAAAAAACAACATAAATATCATTGAACAGCTGGGTTTTTAATGGAATGATTTAAGTTTCTTAATCAGTGTGTGCATTTAATATGGTATTGTGTTGACTAATAATGTATATAATTTGGTTTTTCTAAGTATTGGTAGCCTTTGTTATTTTAAAAGTGCTGATTTTTTTTAGCTATTTAGTTCTTTAGTTAATTTTGAATGTGCCAGATTTTTAACTATGTAGTTATTTCTTTGTATTGTCACTAATATCTCAACAGGTGGTGTTGCGTTTTGATCAATAACAATTTTATAAATGATTTTTACCAAATACGTATAACTTCAAAAATATATAGGCCTATAATTCATGTACTGACTGCTAGTTTTAAAATAATTCCTTAAGTTGACTGTACTAAAAAATCTATACAAAAACAAAAGAAATATAACAAAATAAACAAAGTGAGATGCAGCCTTACTTTAAAAGGTCCATAAAATCTTTAGTTTTCTAGTTGGGCGTAGAGCTACAATCACAGCTCTTACATTTCATTGAGTTCTAGGCTTGTTGCTGCAATCACAGCTCTTACATTTCATTGAGTTCTAGGCTTGTTGCACGTCATTGATAAGACTGGGACTAGTATTTTTTTAACTTGGGTACTGGGAGGGAAGGGGGGAGAGCCAGGACCAACGCCATGAGCCAACGAACCTGATAATTGTAGGACCAGAGAGCCATGAGCCAACGAACCTGATAATTGTAGGACCAGAGAGCCATGAGCCAACAAACCTGATAATTGTGCTTGAAAAGTTCTTTGAGCTGAGGCTCAGACAAGAGCGCAGATCTCAGCAGGCTTCTCCACACAGCTGTCACAACAAACACAGACTCCAGCACCTCACCGCGCACCTGCAAAACAACGTTGGTCAGCCACACCACACATTCTAGAACAGGAGCAACACACCACACATTCTAGAACATGAGCAACACACCACACATTCTAGAACAGGAGCAACACACCACACATTCTAGAACAGGAGCAACACACCACACATTCTAGAACAGGAGCAACACACCACACATTCTAGAACATGAGCAACACACCACACATTCTAGAACAGGAGCAACACACCACACTAATATTCTAGAACATGAGCAACACACCACACTAATATTCTAGAACAGGAGCAACACACCACACTAATATTCTAGAACATGAGCAACACACCACACTAATATTCTAGAACAGGAGCAACACACCACACATTCTAGAACAGGAGCAACACACCACACATTCTAGAACATGAGCAACACACCACACATTCTAGAACATGAGCAACACACCACACATTCTAGAACAGGAGCAACACACCACACTAATATTCTAGAACATGAGCAACACACCACACTAATATTCTAGAACAGGAGCAACACACCACACAAATATTTTAGAACATGAGCAACACACCACACTAATATTCTAGAACATGAGCAACACACCACACTAATATTCTAGAACATGAGCAACACACCACACTAATATTCTAGAACATGAGCAACACACCACACTAATATTCTAGAACATGAGCAACACACCACACTAATATTCTAGAACAGGAGCAACACACCACACAAATATTTTAGAACATACAGAACATAGGTTGTTACAACAAATGGAGTAAACATTTTCTATTTAAAATTTTAAATGAGACCAAGCTGACCCAATCATCAAGACAAGCAAAACTTCACTCCAAGACAAGCAAAACTTCACTCCAAGACAAGCAAAACTTCACTCCAAAAATCCATCACACGGAATCACAAGCGGGAGTGAGCTCCCCTAAAGGTTCTCATATGTCTATAAAAACAAAGTGGGTGTTTTTTGCTTGGTTTGTTAATCAGACCTATTAGATGGGGTACCTGCAGGTAAGTTGCAGGTAAGTTGCAGGTAAGTTGCAGGGAAATTGTTCTTGACAAACTTTGCTGTTTACTCTCTTTTAAACGGGAAACTTTGAGTCATCTCAAAAATTGAGTTTAAAGTGACTAGAAACTGACCTAGGTTGACCATGGCCATATAGAAACTATACATTTTTTAAAGTTGTTATTTGGTAAGAAGAGAGCTCTGGTGCACATGGAATAATACCTGATTTTCAGAAATGTCATATAAAAAGGTGCTCTATACAACTGATAAGAGAAAATAAAAATGTACTCATATAAAGCTGGGTGGGTTCAGTAGCTACACAAAAAAAAACCCACTGCTCTATATTATGTATAAGAGAAAATAAAAATGTACTCATAAGTAACTGACCAAAATATGAAGGAACATTTGGAGCTTCTGGTCCAACAACTGGCGTGGCCAACAGGCCATAAGGCTAGTTAAGATTTCCACCTGTTGGTCCAGGAGTTTGGGCCACGCCTCTCTCCTGCCCAGCCACTGCTTATCAGTGTGACCTCTGACCTTCCCTGCTAGCTCTGGATGTAGCTCAGCACTGGAGTCTGGGTGGCAGAAGAAAGTTGCGGACAGATCAAACAAACTTTGCCAAATCTCTTCTAGCTGCTCTGGACTCAGGAGGGCAAAGTCAGAAGAAACTCTCAGCTGACAGAGACAACACGCCTCAAGAAATCTTAAACAGGATTCTTTCCCCTGAAAAAACACATGTAATAAGCATATATGTTGTTGCTATAATTTGCTCCCCAAATATGATGGCTCATCAAAATCAACAAAAGTGGAGCCCTTAGAGAGCCAGGTAACACCAACTAAAGGTGGAGCCCTTAGAGAGCCAGGTAACACCAACTAAAGGTGGAGCCCTTAGAGAGCCAGGTAACACCAACTAAAGGTGGAGCCCTTAGAGAGCCAGGTAACACCAACTAAAGGTGGAGCCCTTAGAGAGCCAGGTAACACCAACTAAAGGTGGAGCCCTTAGAGAGCCAGGTAACACCAACTAAAGGTGGAGCCCTTAGAGAGCCAGGTAACACCAACTAAAGGTGGAGCCCTTAGAGAGCCAGGTAACACCAACTAAAGGTGGAGCCCTTAGAGAGCCAGGTAACACCAACTAAAGGTGGAGCCCTTAGAGAGCCAGGTAACACCAACTAAAGGTGGAGCCCTTAGAGAGCCAGGTAACACCAACTAAAGGTGGAGCCCTTAGAGAGCCAGGTAACACCAACTAAAGGTGGAGCCCTTAGAGAGCCAGGTAACACCAACTAAAGGTGGAGCCCTTAGAGAGCCAGGTAACACCAACTAAAGGTGGAGCCCTTAGAGAGCCAGGTAACACCAACTAAAGGTGGAGCCCTTAGAGAGCCAGGTAACACCAACTAAAGGTGGAGCCCTTAGAGAGCCAGATAACACCAACTAAAGGTGGAGCCCTTAGAGAGCCAGGTAACACCAACTAAAGGTGGAGCCCTTAGAGAGCCAGGTAACACCAACTAAAGGTGGAGCCCTTAGAGAGCCAGGTAACACCAACTAAAGGTGGAGCCCTTAGAGAGCCAGGTAACACCAACTAAAGGTGGAGCCCTTAGAGAGCCAGGTAACACCAACTAAAGGTGGAGCCCTTAGAGAGCCAGGTAACACCAACTAAAGGTGGAGCCCTTAGAGAGCCAGGTAACACCAACTAAAGGTGGAGCCCTTAGAGAGCCAGGTAACACCAACTAAAGGTGGAGCCCTTAGAGAGCCAGGTAACACCAACTAAAGGTGGAGACACCATTCAGGTATAAAAAAAGAGGCACCTACCTTGAGTTGCGTGAGTACAGCGGGCAGGACTTGTCCTACCATGTCCTTCAGACGCTTGTTTGTATTGTCCTCCATCAGTGGAGCAGACCACAAAGTTAGGACAGCACTCAAGCACTCAATCATCCCCTCTCTCGCCTCTCTGCTCACACCACCTCCCCTCTCCGGCTCTCCCTTAGAATGAGCATCTTCTTGGAAAAATTTCATCCCATGTTTGATAGTGAATTTAGAGATGTTAAAAAAAATGTTCAAAGCCGCATCCTTGACAGCTATCATATGATATTGCTTGGTTAAATACTGTGGACAAGACAAAATTTGTCAGAAAAAACCTAACCAAACCACAACAAACAAATGATTGTTAGCTAAAATTAGCCTAATAGCAATGAATAGAAACAACTTTCAATGCTAAAATAATTTTAAACTGCTAAATATGGGTAGTGCTAAACAACTAACAGTCAAAGTTGCTAGAAAAGATATTAATTTCATTAATTAAGTTAAATTAGGTAATCGTTGCTTTGAAAAAAATCATTATTTTTTTTAATGTCATCTATGTATGTAAAAATTAGTATGTTTGTCATGTATGTATTACTAAACCTTTCATCAGATTTAAATAAAACTGGGAAATTTTAAAAATAATCCTGCACCATGCAGGGTGCGATATTTCAAAATAAAAGTGGTTTGGCGCCCAGAGTTCCAGAGTGGCTATTTCAAAACTTGGTATCTGTTGATTAAGTGTCAGGCGGTCAGGGGTACTACTGGCATAGGGGGTCAGGGGTACTACTGGCATAGGGGGTCAGGGGTACTACTTGCATAGGGGGTCAGGGGTACTATTTGCATAGGGGGTCAGGGGTACTACTGGCATAGGGGGTCAGGGGTACTACTGGCATAGGGGGTCAGGAGTACTATTTGCATAGGGGGTCAGGGGTACTACTGGCATAGGGGGTCAGGAGTACTATTTGCATAGGGGGTCAGGGCTCTCCTGTGAGCACTATGGTGGGAGTGATCTCCCCTAAACTTTCTCGAATATTCTTATATAACACTATGGGGGATGGCAACTCGGGATTTAGACAATATTTTTAATCCATTTTTAATTGCTTAAACTTTTAAAAATAGAATAAAATCTAGTAGAAAAAAGAATTGCACACCAAGTAAACGCCAAATAAAATGTTCAAAATAATGCGGAATATTATTAGTACCATATAAATTTTCATGCTTTTTTTGAGAAATCGGAAATAGCAAAAATTACTAGATCTACTTCCAGTCAAAGGAAATTACTCAAAATTTGGCAGAAAATTAGATCTTTTACTTACGTGTGAAATTTAATTTATCTATCTGAAATAGTACTCAAGTTATAGGCTTTTAAAAAATTGAAAGTAGAAAAAGTTCCCTTTCCGGTTATGGAAATCACTCAAAAGTTGATACGGATCTACGATTTTGATATAATACTTATATATGAAATTTCATTAACCTAGCTGTAAGTTATTGTGTTTACAGACACACACACACACATAGACATACGGACAAGATTGCAAAACTATGTTTTTCCTACTCAGGGAGCTTAAAACGTCGAGATTTGCAAAAAATCTCGATTTTTTTTTTTTTTTTGCATGATTACAAGACTTTCTCTATACTTCATATATACAAGAAAGTAAAAAACTACCAGAAAAATATATATAGTAAGTGTTAGTATGAGTGTTTTATTTCATGTTAAATTTTAAAATTTTAAAATGCTGATTAGGGATAAAAATCAGTTTTCAATGACATTTTTGAATTCTGTTTAAATTTGAAGTTGAGGTTGTGATTTTGCGCCCCCAACGGGCCATTTATCTAGTTTGAAATATCAACAAAATATCAACATAATATAGCATAGTGCCAAATCTGTCAAACTTCTGTTCAAAAATTCTAAAAAAAATTTCCTGATAAATAGAAGCTAGATTGTTGTTGAACAAAATAAGCACATTCTTAGTGTCATCTTCATTTTTGGGAGAAATAAGCAGTTCTCAGCTAAAAAAAACTTTAAAACAAACATTAAAACTTCCTCTTTAAACCTAACCATCAACTAGGAAGATGAAGTAGAGTTCATATGTTTCTTGACCTTGGCTAGGCCTTGCTATCCCATAATAATAAATCTGTAAAGCTAAAACAAACAAACCTTCTGACATGAGTTCAGCATCATGGCCATCGTGACAAGCTTTATGTGGTTGGAATAATCTTTCAACACGTCAGTTATCATCTGAACAAAAGTCACAAATAATCTTTAAACAAGTCACTAATCTTCTGAAAAAAGAGAGAAATCTGGAATAAGTCAGATCAAACTGCAGGGGTCGGAGTGGTCCAGTCAGTAAAGCTCATGGTTGCTAATCTGAAAAGTCTCGAGTTCGAACCCTCGGGCAGATGAGACTCGTTAGCTGGGGACAGCCACTCTTCTAAAAGAGACAACTCCAAAATCAAACAACTGCTGCCTTGTAGTTTGTTCTTGGTTGGACAAAGGCTATGGAAGCAAATCCAAAAATGAAAAGCTGTCTGAAATTGGAGTCAATGGCCTCAATGGCGCATAACAAGATGACACGTATACTTAATCCTGTTGGAGGGGATCCCAACACTAATAATTAAGAACTAAGAAGAAGAAGAAGATAAAACTGTCTATAAGGAAGCAAACTGACAGTGTTGACTGACAGTGTTGACTGCAAGTGTTGACTGTACAGTGTTGACTGACAGTGTTGACTTAGTGTTGACTGACAGTGTTGACTGACAGTGTTGACTTACAGTGTTGACTGACAGTGTTGACTTACAGTGTTGACTGACAGTGTTGACTTACAGTGTTGACTTACAGTGTTGACTTACAGTGTTGACTTACAGTGTTGACTTACAGTGTTGACTTACAGTGTTGACTTACCATTTGGGAGAAATCTGACATGGCCAGGACAGCTTTGTGGTCATTCATCACGCCAGCCACAACAGTAGCCACAACATCATCTCCCACCAGCATCTAGACACAATCAAATGTTGCATTCAACATTTATTACAACATCATCACCCACCAGCATCTAGACACAATCAAATGTTGCATACAACATTTATTACAACATCATCTCCCACCAGCACACAATCAAATGTTGCATACAACATTTATTACAACATCATCACCCACCAGCATCTAGACACAATCAAATGTTGCATACAACATTTATTACAACATCATCTCCCACCAGCATCTAGACACAATCAAATGTTGCATACAACATTTATTACAACATCATCTCCCACCAGCACACAATCAAATGTTGCATACAACATTTATTACAACATCATCTCCCACCAGAATCTAGACACAATCAAATGTTGCATACAACATTTATTACAACATCATCACCCACCAGCATCTAGACACAATCAAATGTTGCATACAACATTTATTACAACATCATCTCCCACCAGCATCTAGACACAATCAAATGTTGCATACAACATTTATTACAACATCATCTCCCACCAGCATCTAGACACAATCAAATGTTGCATACAACATTTATTACAACATCATCACCCACCAGCATCTAGACACAATCAAATGTTGCATACAACATTTATTACAACATCATCTCCCACCAGCACACAATCAAATGTTGCATACAACATTTATTACAACATCATCTCCCACCAGCACACAATCAAATGTTGCATACAACATTTATTACAACATCATCTCCCACCAGAATCTAGACACAATCAAATGTTGCATACAACATTTATTACAACATCATCTCCCACCAGCACACAATCAAATGTTGCATACAACATTTATTACAACATCATCTCCCACCAGCACACAATCAAATGTTGCATACAACATTTATTACAACATCATCACCCACCAGCATCTAGACACAATCAAATGTTGCATACAACATTTATTACAACATCATCACCCACCAGCATCTAGACACAATCAAATGTTGCATACAACATTTATTACAACATCATCTCCCACCAGCACACAATCAAATGTTGCATACAACATTTATTACAACATCATCACCCACCAGCATCTAGACACAATCAAATGTTGCATACAACATTTATTACAACATCATCTCCCACCAGCATCTAGACACAATCAAATGTTGCATACAACATTTATTACAACATCATCTCCCACCAGCACACAATCAAATGTTGCATACAACATTTATTACAACATCATCTCCCACCAGCATCTAGACACAATCAAATGTTGCATACAACATTTATTACAACATCATCACCCACCAGCATCTAGACACAATCAAATGTTGCATACAACATTTATTACAACATCATCACCCACCAGCATCTAGACACAATCAAATGTTGCATACAACATTTATTACAACATCATCTCCCACCAGCACACAATCAAATGTTGTATACAACATTTATTACAACATCATCTCCCACCAGCACCTAGACACAATCAAATGTTGTATACAACATTTATTACAACATCATCTCCCACCAGCACACAATCAAATGTTGCATACAACATTTATTACAACATCATCTCCCACCAGAATCTAGACACAATCAAATGTTGCATACAACATTTATTACAACATCATCTCCCACCAGCATCTAGACACAATCAAATGTTGCATACAACATTTATTACAACATCATCTCCCACCAGCATCTAGACACAATCAAATGTTGCATACAACATTTATTACAACATCATCTCCCACCAGCATCTAGACACAATCAAATGTTGCATACAACATTTATTACAACATCATCACCCACCAGCATCTAGACACAATCAAATGTTGCATACAACATTTATTACAACATCATCTCCCACCAGCATCTAGACACAATCAAATGTTGCATACAACATTTATTACAACATCATCTCCCACCAGCATCTAGACACAATCAAATGTTGCATACAACATTTATTACAACATCATCACCCACCAGCATCTAGACACAATCAAATGTTGCATACAACATTTATTACAACATCATCTCCCACCAGCATCTAGACACAATCAAATGTTGCATACAACATTTATTACAACATCATCACCCACCAGCATCTAGACACAATCAAATGTTGCATACAACATTTATTACAACATCATCACCCACCAGCATCTAGACACAATCAAATGTTGCATACAACATTTATTACAACATCATCTCCCACCAGCACCTAGACACAATCAAATGTTGCATACAACATTTATTACAACATCATCTCCCACCAGCACACAATCAAATGTTGCATACAACATTTATTACAACATCATCTCCCACCAGAATCTAGACACAATCAAATGTTGCATACAACATTTATTACAACATCATCTCCCACCAGAATCTAGACACAATCAAATGTTGCATACAACATTTATTACAACATCATCTCCCACCAGCATCTAGACACAATCAAGTGTTGCATACAACATTTATTACAACATCATCTCCCACCAGCATCTAGACACAATCAAATGTTGCATACAACATTTATTACAACATCATCTCCCACCAGCATCTAGACACAATCAAATGTTGCATACAACATTTATTACAACATCATCACCCACCAGCATCTAGACACAATCAATATTGCATACAACATTTATTACAACATCATCTCCCACCAGCATCTAGACACAATCAAATGTTGCATACAACATTTATTACAACATCATCACCCACCAGCATCTAGACACAATCAAATGTTGCATACAACATTTATTACAACATCATCTCCCACCAGCATCTAGACACAATCAAATGTTGCATACAACATTTATTACAACATCATCTCCCACCAGCATCTAGACACAATCAAATGTTGTATACAACATTTATTACAACATCATCTCCCACCAGCACCTAGACACAATCAAATGTGGTATACAACATTTATTACAACATCATCTCCCACCAGCACACAATCAAATGTTGCATACAACATTTATTACAACATCATCTCCCACCAGAATCTAGACACAATCAAATGTTGCATACAACATTTATTACAACATCATCTCCCACCAGAATCTAGACACAATCAAATGTTGCATACAACATTTATTACAACATCATCTCCCACCAGCATCTAGACACAATCAAGTGTTGCATACAACATTTATTACAACATCATCACCCACCAGCATCTAGACACAATCAATATTGCATACAACATTTATTACAACATCATCTCCCACCAGCATCTAGACACAATCAAATGTTGCATACAACATTTATTACAACATCATCACCCACCAGCATCTAGACACAATCAAATGTTGCATACAACATTTATTACAACATCATCTCCCACCAGCATCTAGACACAATCAAATGTTGCATACAACATTTATTACAACATCATCTCCCACCAGAATCTAGACACAATCAAATGTTGCATACAACATTTATTACAACATCATCTCCCACCAGAATCTAGACACAATCAAATGTTGCATACAACATTTATTACAACATCATCTCCCACCAGAATCTAGACACAATCAAATGTTGTATACAACATTTATTACAACATCATCTCCCACCAGCACACAATCAAATGTTGCATACAACATTTATTACAACATCATCTCCCACCAGCACACAATCAAATGTTGTATACAACATTTATTACAACATCATCTCCCACCAGCACACAATCAAATGTTGCATACAACATTTATTACAACATCATCACCCACCAGCACACAATCAAATGTTGCATACAACATTTATTACAACATCATCTCCCACCAGCACACAATCAAATGTTGCATACAACATTTATTACAACATCATCACCCACCAGCATCTAGACACAATCAAATGTTGCATACAACATTTATTACAACATCATCACCCACCAGCATCTAGACACAATCAAATGTTGCATACAACATTTATTACAACATCATCTCCCACCAGCACACAATCAAATGTTGCATACAACATTTATTACAACATCATCTCCCACCAGCATCTAGACACAATCAAATGTTGCATACAACATTTATTACAACATCATCTCCCACCAGCACACAATCAAATGTTGCATACAACATTTATTACAACATCATCTCCCACCAGCATCTAGACACAATCAAATGTTGCATACAACATTTATTACAACATCATCACCCACCAGCATCTAGACACAATCAAATGTTGCATACAACATTTATTACAACATCATCTCCCACCAGCACACAATCAAATGTTGCATACAACATTTATTACAACATCATCTCCCACCAGCATCTAGTCACCTACTCATGAGACAGGTGAAACAAATGTCACCTATGTGACAGGTGAAACAAATGTCAACTATGAGACAGGTGAAACAAATGTCATCTATGAGACAGGTGAAACAAATGTCACCTATTCATGAGACAGGTGAAACAAATGTCACCTATGAGGCAGGTGAAACAAATGTCAGCTATGAGACAGGTAAAACAAATGTCACCTATGTGACAGGTGAAACAAATGTCAGCTATGAGACAGGTAAAACAAATGTCACCTATGAGACAGGTGAAACAAATGTCACATATTCATGAGACAGGTGAAACAAATGTCACCTATGAGACAGGTGAAACAAATGTCACCTATGAGACAGGTGAAACAAATGTCACCTATGAGACAGGTGAAACAAATGTCACCTATGAGACAGGTGAAACAAATGTCACCTATGAGACAGATGAAACAAATGTCACCTATGAGACAGGTGAAACAAATGTCACCTATGAGACATGTGAAACAAGGGTGAAACTGACCTGAGATCTGATATCCAGAACACATGTAAGCAAGTCTGTTGGAAGCACACATTCAAATAGAGAAGTCAGGTTGGGAACGGATAGCGCACGAATAAACTGTTGCTGGATAGCATGGTGTACTTCATCTACAACATAGTAGGCAAAACAGCTTACAACAACAATGCAACATAACATACAACATGTCAGACAAAACAACATACAACATATCAGGCAACATAACATACAACATGACAGACAAAACCACATACAACATGTCAGACAAAACAACATACAACATGACAGATAAAACCACATATAACATAACAGACAAAACCACATACAACATGACAGACAAAACAACATACAACATAGCAGGCAACATAACATACAACATGTCAGGCAAAACAACATACAACATGACAGACAAAACCACATACAACATGACAGATAAAACCACATATAACATGACAGACAAAACAATGTACAACACATTTTTACAAGATTTTGTTTAGTTTGCAACGTTTGATTGTGGGTTTGTGGCAAATCTTGTAGTTCAGTTTTGACCCACTTCTAATACAGCGAGGGGACGGAGTGGTCTAGGGGTAGAGAGCTGGACTGCTAATCCGTAAGTCTCAAGTTCAAATCCGGGTTCAAGTCAGTAGACCGTCCCTGAGTCCACCCAACTCTGATGAGTACCTAACTCACGTTAGGGAAAGTAAAGGCGGCTGGGCATAGTGCTGACCACACTATCTCTTCATATGCCGAGGTCACAGAAACAAGTGAACTCTACTTCACTTGTTCTATAGACCGTCAGGTTTTAAAAGGGAACTTTACTTACTAATACAGCAATGTTATTCAAACTTTCCAGATACGTTCCACTTTGATGACAATACAAGTCTATCTATTTTTTAATTTAATTAGATGTTTTATTAGTCATTAAAACAGTTTTTAAAAAAAGGGAAGATAAAATTTAATCACTTGATGGATCACTAAATTCAATAACAAAGGGGGAGATAACTAGCTAAACAGCTAGACGCTATCAACCAACCATTCTGGTGAGCTGAGGTTCATGCCCAATGTTTGCTGTTGTAGAGCCAATCTAGTAAAGGCCATTAGGGGCAGATAATATAGTTGTTAAATGATTTGAAACTTAGGGGCAGTAGCAAGAACTATCCTTCATATTAGGGGCAGATAATATAGTTGTTAAATTATTTGAAACTTAGGGGCAGTAGCAAGAACTATCCTTTATTTTAGGGGCAGATAATATAGTTGTTAAATGATTTGAAACTTAGGGGCAGTAGCAAGAACTATCCTTCATATTAGGGGCAGATAATATAGTTGTTAAATGATTTGAAACTTAGGGGCAGTAGCAAGAACTATCCTTTATTTTAGGGGCAGATAATATAGTTGTTAAATGATTTGAAACTTAGGGGCAGTAGCAAGAACTATCCTTCATATTAGGGGCAGATAATATAGTTGTTAAATGATTTGAAACTTAGGGGCAGTAGCAAGAACTTTATTTTATCAGCTTGCTGTTGTCCTTGGGCTCACAGACAGATAATTGTCTTCTAGATCTCATCAACTACTGATGGTGTTTGATCTCATCAACTACTGATGGTGTTTGAAAGCAAATATTTTTTGTCTCATCAACTACTGATGGTGTTTGAAAGCAAATATTTTTAGTCCTGTAGAATTCATACACTAGCAATCACTTAGAAGGGGAATATATGTATAACAAATATAAAAAAACCTTTAGAGCAACAAGCTTTTAAATGCACTGAAAATAAAACTTATTTTCTTTAATAAAAGCTTTAGTAGCTCATGAGATCTTTTATTATTTTCATTGCATTTAAAAGCTTGTTGCTACAAAGGTTTTCTAAGTTGTTTTATTGTAATCCATGTGTTTGCAGTTGAGCTGAAGGCGTTGCTTATCTGCCCTTACCTGCCACATCTTGGTTAAGATTCTTGAGTAGAATGAGAAGTCCAACTTGAGATTTCAAGTTGACTGTAGGTTGATATTCCAAGTGCAGACGCCCTAATGTCTAGTGGGAAAATGCATGGTTTTCAGTTATACACGCTTACTTGTAAACACATCCTACAGTTTCTTTTTGTACATGCTTACATCCTACAGTTTGACATATCTACTTGTACATGCTTACATCCTACAGTTTGACATATCTACTTGTACATGCTTACATCCTACAGTTTGACATATCTACTTGTACATGCTTACATCCTACAGATTGACATATCTACTTGTACATGCTTACATCCTACAGTTTGACATGCAAACAGCCAGTTGCAACTTACTGAAATCAGTTGGGTCAAATGTGGCTGGAAGTTCACCTCCAACTTTAATGTAGAGATGTCACATACACTGAAATATAACTTTAATGTAGAGATGTCACATACACTGAAATATAACTTTAATGTAGAGATGTCACATACACTGAAATATAACTTTAATGTAGTGATGTCACATACACTGAAATATAACGATCTCTTAATTTCTTGTCATACTTTAATGTAGAGATGTCACATACACTGAAATATAACAATCTCTTAATTTCTTGCCATACTTTAATGTAGTGATGTCACATACACTCATGTGATCTAAAGTAATTAACAGATAAACATATGGTGGATCAAAAAGCCCAAAGTTATGTCTGGTTGAAACTCACCATTGATGAATTGTTACATCAGTCAAAAACTCCACAACATCAGTCACTGCCTCTTGTTTCCTTTTTTTCTTCTTGGGGCTACACAAATCAAACATTGCACCAGTAGTAGGCCATGTTAACACAAACATTGCACCAGTAGTAGGCCATGTTAACACAAACATTGCACCAGTAGTAGGCCATGTTAACACAAATCAAACATTGCACCAGTAGTAGGCCATGTTAACACAAATCAAACATTGCACCAGTAGTAGGCCATGTTAACACAAATCAAACATTGCACCAGTAGTAGGTCATGTTAACACAAATCAAACATTGCACCAGTAGTAGGACATGTTAACACAAATCAAACATTGCACCAGTAGTAGGCCATGTTAACACAAATCAAACATTGCACCAGTAGTAGGCCATGTTAACACAAATCAAACATTGCACCAGTAGTAGGCCATGTTAACACAAATCAAACATTGCACCAGTAGTAGGCCATGTTAACACAAATCAAACATTGCACCAGTAGTAGGACATGTTAACACAAATCAAACATTGCACCAGTAGTAGGTCATGTTAACACAAACATTGCACCAGTAGTATGCCATGTTAACACAAACATTGCACCAGTAGTAGACCATGTTAACACAAATCAAACATTGCACCAGTAGTAGGCCATGTTAACACAAATCAAACATTGCACCAGTAGTAGGCCATGTTAACACAAACATTGCACCAGTAGTAGACCATGTTAACACAAATCAAACATTGCACCAGTAGTAAGCCATGTTAACACAAATCAAACATTGCACCAGTAGTAGGTCATGTTAACACAAACATTGCACCAGTAGTATGCCATGTTAACACAAACATTGCACCAGTAGTAGACCATGTTAACACAAATCAAACATTGCACCAGTAGTAGGCCATGTTAACACAAATCAAACATTGCACCAGTAGTAGGCCATGTTAACACAAACATTGCACCAGTAGTAGACCATGTTAACACAAATCAAACATTGCACCAGTAGTAAGCCATGTTAACACAAATCAAACATTGCACCAGTAGTAGCCCATGTCAACACAAATCAAACATTGCACCAGTAGTAGGCCATGTTAACACAAATCAAACATTGCACCAGTAGTAGGCCATGTTAACACAAACATTGCACCAGTAGTAGACCATGTTAACACAAATCAAACATTGCACCAGTAGTAGGCCATGTTAACACAAATCAAACATTGCACCAGTAGTAGGCCATGTTAACACAAACATTGCACCAGTAGTAGACCATGTTAACACAAATCAAACATTGCACCAGTAGTAAGCCATGTTAACACAAATCAAACATTGCACCAGTAGTAGCCCATGTCAACACAAATCAAACATTGCACCAGTAGTAGGCCATGTTAACACAAATCAAACAATGCACCAGTAGTAGGCCATGTTAACACAAATCAAACATTGCACCAGTAGTAGGCCATGTTAACACAAATCAAACATTGCACCAGTAGTAGGCCATGTTAACACAAATCAAACATTGCACCAGTAGTAGGCCATGTTAACACAAACATTGCACCAGTAGTATGCCATGTTAACACAAATCAAACATTGCACCAGTAGTAGGCCATGTTAACACAAATCAAACATTGCACCAGTAGTAGGCCATGTTAACACAAATCAAACATTGCACCAGTAGTAGGCCATGTCAACACAAATCAAACATTGCACCAGTAGTAGGTCATGTTAACACAAATCAAACATTGCACCAGTAGTAGGTCATGTTAACACAAATCAAACATTGCACCAGTAGTAGGCCATGTTAACACAAACATTGCACCAGTAGTAGGTCATGTTAACACAAACATTGCACCAGTAGTAGGCCATGTCAACACAAATCAAACATTGCACCAGTAGTAGGCCATGTTAACACAAATCAAACATTGCACCAGTAGTAGGCCATGTCAACACAAATCAAACATTGCACCAGTAGTAGGTCATGTTAACACAAATCAAACATTGCACCAGTAGTAGGCCATGTTAACACAAATCAAACATTGCACCAGTAGTAGGCCATGTCAACACAAATCAAACATTGCACCAGTAGTAGGTCATGTTAACACAAATCAAACATTGCACCAGTAGTAGGCCATGTTAACACAAACATTGCACCAGTAGTAGGTCATGTTAACACAAACATTGCACCAGTAGTAGGCCATGTTAACACAAACATTGCACCAGTAGTAGCCCATGTTAACACAAACATTGCACCAGTAGTAGGCCATGTTAACACAAACATTGCACCAGTAGTAGGCCATGTTAACACAAACATTGCACCAGTAGTAGGCCATGTTAACACAAACATTGCACCAGTAGTAGGTCATGTTAACACAAACATTGCACCAGTAGTAGGCCATATTAACACAAACATTGCACCAGTAGTAGGCTATGTTAACACAAATCAAACATTGCACCAGTAGTAGGTCATGTTAACACAAACATTGCACCAGTAGTAGGCCATGTTAACACAAATCAAACATTGCACCAGTAGTAGGTCATGTTAACACAAATCAAACATTGCACCAGTAGTAGGCCATGTCAACACAAATCAAACATTGCACCAGTAGTAGGCCATGTTAACACAAATCAAACATTGCACCAGTAGTAGGCCATGTCAACACAAATCAAACATTGCACCAGTAGTAGGCCATGTTAACACAAATCAAACATTGCACCAGTAGTAGGCTATGTTAACACAAATCAAACATTGCACCAGTAGTAGGCTATGTTAACACAAATCAAACATTGCACCAGTAGTAGGTCATGTTAACACAAATCAAACATTGCACCAGTAGTAGGCCATGTCAACACAAATCAAACATTGCACCAGTAGTAGGTCATGTTAACACAAATCAAACATTGCACCAGTAGTAGGTCATGTTAACACAAATCAAACATTGCACCAGTAGTAGGCTATGTTAACACAAATCAAACATTGCACCAGTAGTAGGTCATGTTAACACAAACATTGCACCAGTAGTAGGCCATGTTAACACAAATCAAACATTGCACCAGTAGTAGGCCATGTCAACACAAATCAAACATTGCACCAGTAGTAGGCCATGTTAACACAAACATTGCACCAGTAGTAGGACATGTTAACACAAATCAAACATTGCACCAGTAGTAGGCCATGTCAACACAAATCAAACATTGCACCAGTAGTAGGCCATGTCAACACAAATCAAACATTGCACCAGTAGTAGGCCATGTTAACACAAATCAAACATTGCACCAGTAGTAGGCCATGTCAACACAAATCAAACATTGCACCAGTAGTAGGTCATGTTAACACAAATCAAACATTGCACCAGTAGTAGGCCATGTTAACACAAATCAAACATTGCACCAGTAGTAGGCCATGTCAACACAAATCAAACATTGCACCAGTAGTAGGTCATGTTAACACAAATCAAACATTGCACCAGTAGTAGGCCATGTTAACACAAACATTGCACCAGTAGTAGGTCATGTTAACACAAACATTGCACCAGTAGTAGGCCATGTCAACACAAATCAAACATTGCACCAGTAGTAGGACATGTTAACACAAATCAAACATTGCACCAGTAGTAGGTCATGTTAACACAAATCAAACATTGCACCAGTAGTAGGCCATGTTAACACAAACATTGCACCAGTAGTAGGTCATGTTAACACAAACATTGCACCAGTAGTAGGCCATGTCAACACAAATCAAACATTGCACCAGTAGTAGGCCATGTTAACACAAATCAAACATTGCACCAGTAGTAGGCCATGTCAACACAAATCAAACATTGCACCAGTAGTAGGACATGTTAACACAAATCAAACATTGCACCAGTAGTAGGCCATGTTAACACAAACATTGCACCAGTAGTAGGCCATGTCAACACAAATCAAACATTGCACCAGTAGTAGGTCATGTTAACACAAATCAAACATTGCACCAGTAGTAGGACATGTTAACACAAATCAAACATTGCACCAGTAGTAGGTCATGTTAACACAAATCAAACATTGCACCAGTAGTAGGTCATGTTAACACAAATCAAACATTGCACCAGTAGTAGGCCATGTTAACACAAATCAAACATTGCACCAGTAGTAGGCCATGTTAACACAAACATTGCACCAGTAGTAGGCCATGTCAACACAAATCAAACATTGCACCAGTAGTAGGACATGTTAACACAAATCAAACATTGCACCAGTAGTAGGCCATGTTAACACAAATCAAACATTGCACCAGTAGTAGGCCATGTTAACACAAATCAAACATTGCACCAGTAGTAGGACATGTTAACACAAACATTGCACCAGTAGTAGGTCATGTTAACACAAACATTGCACCAGTAGTAGGCCATGTTAACACAAATCAAACATTGCACCAGTAGTAGGTCATGTTAACACAAACATTGCACCAGTAGTAGGCCATGTCAACACAAATCAAACATTGCACCAGTAGTAGGCCATGTCAACACAAATCAAACATTGCACCAGTAGTAGGCCATGTTAACACAAACATTGCACCAGTAGTAGGCCATGTTAACACAAACATTGCACCAGTAGTAGGCCATGTTAACACAAACATTGCACCAGTAGTAGGCCATGTCAACACAAATCAAACATTGCACCAGTAGTAGGCCATGTTAACACAAACATTGCACCAGTAGTAGGCCATGTTAACACAAACATTGCACCAGTAGTAGGCCATGTTAACACAAATCAAACATTGCACCAGTAGTAGGCCATGTCAACACAAATCAAACATTGCACCAGTAGTAGGCCATGTCAACACAAATCAAACATTGCACCAGTAGTAGGCCATGTTAACACAAACATTGCACCAGTAGTAGGCCATGTTAACACAAATCAAACATTGCACCAGTAGTAGGCCATGTTAACACAAATCAAACATTGCACCAGTAGTAGGCCATGTTAACACAAATCAAACATTGCACCAGTAGTAGGCAATGTTAACACAAATCAAACATTGCACCAGTAGTAGGCCATGTTAACACAAATCAAACATTGCACCAGTAGTAGG